GTCCCTTATTTACTGAGACCTCCGGAAAGCAGTGTGTTTTGTGGACCCTCGACCGTCGAATCGTCGATGTTTCCCTCGTCTTCGCCTCGGGACGACGAGGCGAACATCGACGGTCTTGGGTCCACAAAACACAATGTTTCCCTCGGTCTCAGTAAACAAGTGACAATTGATGAGTGATGAATAATCAAATTTTAAACGGTTAAACCTGGGGTTTTTTCAAAATTTTGAAGAAAATCTTGAAAAACGTTGTCATTAATATTCCAAACGACATGTGATTCGAAAGAAAAGCGACGAATACTTGCGTTAATAATCCGAAAATAAAAATCGTATTCACGAAGGTACGTGTCAAGTTTTTAATTCTCAACTTGAGGCTTTTAATTTTCGGTATAATATTTATCATTTATAGACCCGGAGCGAGGGGGATTCGGCGTAATATTTATCCGGAAGTGATATCCAGGTTTATAAATGATAAATATACATGCACAAAAAATGATGTACTTACCACTAATTTTACAGGTATTGTACCACCACTTGATTGTTCCAACTTGGTAGTTGCCTATCGATGTGCAGCGGCGTTAATGTCTCTATCACTTTGTCTAGTGAAGCTGTTAGGCCAACTGTTCATCGTATGTCAAAGCCGACTTATCCCAGTCCATCCTCGAAGTAGACTTTCAGATGCAGTACTGACCCTATTAATTTGAGTCGCTAACCGTCATACCGCCGCCAAGAGAAAGTTTTTATATAAGAAGGCTTTTAAGTTAAAGAGTCACAAATTTGATGAAGAGAATGATGATGAGTAATTGGAAAGCAATTTATTGAATGACTCAAAGTTTACATAGTGTATCTTAATACTGCTATGTTTTTACATGCTAATACTGTACTTGACTTCAATCCTATTAATCGAGTTTAATCATCATCATTCTCTTCATCAAATTTGTGACCCGTTAAAAGTCTTCTTATAAGAAACTTTCTCTTATCAACAGCTGCTTCCATGGCTTCTTCTGGGTCAAAATCATCGTTTTCCACAAGATCATCTTTTGTGTGCATTATTTTCTTATGTACCGTATCTTTCTTTAGTTTTTAATCTACAAGAGACGCTCCATATAAATATTATCCAGTTCCTTCTTGAGTTTAGGCAGAATATTAGAGTAAGCTTTGTCCTTAACGGATTGCTCATCTAAACCGCTGTTTGTAAGGCGTTCTTTCATTTCCTCAAAAGCTATATTACTTCTTTGCTTTGCTTCTTCTATCAACGGTATCCAAGGATCCGCTTCACCTTCCGTTTCTGACTCATTATCAGTGATTGTCGAAATTTCAGACACATCACTTCAAGTTGTCGAAACGTCGTCTTAGAAATCCATTTCCTGGCTATCTAAGTCCGTTTGAGACATGTTTCTTTCTTGTGAACCTAGGGGACAGTATTCCTTTTCGTGTCTTCGTAGATTGTAACCACGGCTAAATTGCTTTCCGCAAAATTGGCAGCTCATTCCGTTAGCACTGACTGTGCATAAATGCCTTGTTATTGAGCAGCACTGCAGTTTTATGAGCAATTGAGTATGTGCTCGTGAGCAGTTATGAGCATGTGCTCATACGCTTATGCAGGATGAGCAGATGAGCTTGTGCTCATGAGCAATTATGAGCATGTGCTCATACGCTCATCTCACAAGATTGTATACCGGACATGATTTTGAAAATCTAACAGCGCAAGATGACTTGGCGTCACTCAGAAAAATACATCTTTCTTTACTTGATAGACAGTGAATGTCTGCCAAATGATTTGATAATTTGTAAAGGTTTTTCCTTCCGCACAGAGGGCAGTCTTTACGCGTTCGCGGCATCAAGCGAAATGATTCCTCTTGTCAAACGGGACGCAGGGACGTTTCTACGGGACGCCCGGGACTTGCTTGCGGGACACTTTGAGAGGTCTCCCTATATGCGGGACGCACAGGACTTTCTTACGGGAAGCATTTTAACGTGTCCTTGCAATTGCTTCCCGCAAGATCGCTAAGACACACAGCTTAGTCTTTTAAACATTCTAATTCACACATAATCTAATACAGAAATGTATGTTTTAATAAACAAAATTTATTTCCCGCCTTAAAGCAAAAGCTTGAACTTCACCTCAAGGTCATCAAGAGTTGCATCACGATCTTTCCCAAAGTTTTTAAAATGTTCCGATGCGTGCTCAAAAGGGAGATCGTACTGATTTTAAGAGCAAAATAAAGCCAAAGCTACCGCGTTGGTTGACTGCATGCATCTATTAACACATGGATTAACGTTTTGTACACGCGATAGTTACATCGCACGCAAAATCACAGATTAGTGTTTTAAACAATAAAATTCGCACACACAAACTAATACACAAATTTATGCTTTAAGTAAGTAAGTAAGTAAAAACTTTATTTGTCTACGCTAACCCCTACAGCAAGAGCTGATTTCCAAGAGGGGCGTAGGTTTAAAAATACAAACGTTACACTCAATTAGGATAAATATGTATACAAGACTAACACATTACAATACAATTATACAATTATAATTACTCTACTATGGTCAAATAAATAAAATTTCATAAACTCATTATCTAACTGGCCAGGTGCCGCACACCCAAGTTAAATTGACTAAGAGAACATTTATTTCTTAGTCTATCTGGGAGGCCATTCCACAATTTTGCTCCTCTATAACTAAGACCTTTTTTAAGATATTCGGTCTTAGGTTTGGGCAGATAGAGATTTGTGGCATAACCTCGTAAGTTATAATGTTGAGACGAAGGCGTGTTTTGAAACATATCAATTAGTTGTTTGGGCGCTAGAACGTGGGTTATTTTGTACATGAGACTTGCTACAAATTGAGTTCTGCGTTCTTTCAATGTTTTCCAGTTTAGTTCATTTAAAGCAAGTTCAGATTGGCCGTGTTCGTTTTTACGACCCGTAATTACTCTAGCAGCCCTATTTTGTAATTTTTGGAGGCGATCAGAGAGTGTGATACCAATAGTATCCCAAACTTCGCAGCAGTAGTCGAAGTGGGGCAATATAAGTGCGTTATAAGCACATATTAATGTATTATGGTCCACACAGGGTTTGAGTCTTCTGATCGCTCCAATTCCGGATGAAACCTTCTTAGCAATTTTGTCAATATGCTTATTCCATGACAAAAATTCATCAATACATACTCCAAGTGCTTTTGTTTCTCTCACTCTTTTAATTTGTACATCGCCAACGAACACATTTGGAACAAGGGCTAGATTGTTGACGTTATGCCGAGATCCAATTAGTAGGTATTCAGTTTTAACAAGATTTAGGGATAGTTTGTTTGCAGATAGCCACCGCTTTACGTTAGCAAGATCATAATTAATGGCCATTTCTACATCAGCAACTGATTTACCAGATGCAGTTAATGTCGTATCATCGGCAAACATTCTTGTTGACGAATACTCCAAACTGTTTGGCAAATCATTAATATAAACCAAAAATAGGAGCGGCCCAAGAATTGAGCCTTGAGGGACTCCACATGCAATTAATTTTTTACGAGAAAGTGTGCCGTTAACAGAGCACATTTGAGTTCTGTTTTCTAGATACGATTTTAGGAGGTTTAAAGCTGGTGTTTCTAAACCATAAAAATCAAGTTTTTTCAATAATACAACGTGGTTAATAGTGTCGAATGCCTTTTGCAAGTCGAGAAAGACTGCAATATTAAAAAAGCCACGATCCATATTAACAAACCATTCATTTGTGCTATCTAAAAGGGCGGATGCTGTTGAGTGACTACGTCTAAAACCGAATTGATGTTGGGATAGTAAGTTATTTGTAACAAGATAATCGTGTAACTGTTCGTATAATACTTTTTCGAAAACTTTACTTACAACAGGAAGAATGGATATAGGGCGATAATTATTTAACAGGTTTCGAGGGCCTTTTTTATGTAAAGGTGTAACTCTCTCTGCTTTCCATTCAGATGGAAGGGATTCACTGGTGATTGCCGTATTAAAAATTTTTGCCAAGGAATTTGCAATTACTGGGGAAGCAATACGAATAATTTTAGCTGGAATTTTGTCAATACCGGTAGATTTACCGGGATTTAGAGACAAAAGAAGTCTATGAACTTTCGATTCAGATAAACAATTTATTTCCCAAAGCAACAGTCTTACATCAATAAACAATGTATAAGCGCTACACAATAATATTAAACGTTTACATAAAAGTGTCTCACGCAGAAAAGTGTCTCACGCAGATAATTCAAAATTCTCTGGTAATTAGAAAAGCTTGAATCCCGCCTCAAGTTCATCAAGAAATCACGGCTCAATAATACGTTATGCACGCACGATAAAGCGTACGCACGTCATTGTTCGTACAAAACTGTTCGTACTAAATTGTTCGTAAAAGCGTATGTGGAATATTTGAAGAATGAACTTTCAGATGATTAATCATTATACGAACAAGTAGAGAGTTGATTATAAGAATAAATTAGTTAAGTTTGCTTTCCTATTGGAAGAAACATTTAAATTGTTGTAATACTATGTGTAACTTGAGTAAAATAAAACAAACAGCTGTTCTTTATTTTTTCGCGTGATCATGCGTAGCTACGCTCGCACGCTATGCGACATTATTATTCATGCGCACCAACTTTACTATTATTAATGCAGCTAAGTACGAACTCTTGTACGTACACTAAGTACGACCACTTGGACGTACAACCCTGTTGACGTCATACAAACATTAGCTTGAATACTAATTACTTTCGACGTGTGCTAATACTAATTACTTACGACTTATGTGCTTAACAAAATCAGTCATTCGTGACCGATTACGTAAGGAGAAAATTCTAGTGTGCGGTGCACTTTTGTACGTTTTTCGTCACTCGTGACGCGTGACTCTAAAGCGCAACGAGTGACGCGTCACTCGTTGCGCTTTAGAATATTTAAAGTTTTAGCCCAATATAAATACTTTTTAAATTAAATTAAATTAAATTAATTAAATATCCAACGTGTTGAATATTTTTTGTCACGACATTGTAGATCGAATAGGCATGCGTAAAAAAACATAGTTAGGAAATAATAATTAATGAGGAATGTGATACTTGATAGCGACACATGAATATTCCTCATTAATTATTTTCCTTTTGTCTTATGTGTTATTACGCATGCCTATTCGATCTACAATGAAAGGTGATAGCTTTTCAAGCGCGCACACGTGGTGGAAACTGGAAATATTCATTCGTGACAAAAAATATTCAACACGTCGGATATTTGTTTTACGCGTCACGAGTGACGAAAAACTTACAAAAGTGCACCGCACACTAGAATTTTCTTCTTACGCAATCAGTCACGAATGAGATTTTGCTAAGCACATAGCTCTAGTGTGTGCCGGGCATTACTTCGAAAACTAAAGTTGAGGACCGTAAATTTGTATTCTCATATTAATTATTTACATCATTTATATTCATATTTTCATTCACATTGCCACAGGGCCTTTTTTAAGGATTTTCCCGGGGGGGGGGCATTTTTTGAAAAAGGACCTTTCTGTGATATAATATTATTAGAGGGGGATAGCAATGGCTGAAGGCCATGTGTGTGGCCAATATACCACGCATGATTGGGGGGGGGGTCTGGGGGTGTACTCCCCCAGAAAATTTTTGAAATTTGAATCCCGGAAATGTCATTTCCTGCATTCTGAGCATCCAAATTTGCTCCAAAATTTATGCTAACTATACTTGTATTTGAAGTAAATAAAGGAAAAAATGCACAAAAAGTAACTGAAAAAACCCCCATAATTTATCATTACTTATTAGAGGAGGACAGCAATGGTCACGTGTGTGGGGGTGTACTCCCGGCTAGAAAATTTTTGAAATTTGAATCCCGGAAATGCCATTTCCTGCATTCTGAGCATCCAAATTTGCTCTAATATTTATGCTAACTATACTTGTAGTTGAAATAAAAGAAGGTAAAAATGCACAAAAAGTGAAAAAGAATATTAACCGTAATTTATCATTACTTATTAGAGCGATAATCCCCAGAAAATTTTTGAAACTTGAGACCCGGAAATGCTATTTCCTGCATTTTGAGCATCCAAAAAATAAAAAATTATTAACAATAATTTATCATTACTAATTAGTGGTAGAAAAACGTAACAATTTAAATCGATTTTTTTAAACAAGGACAAAGGATAAAGCCTAAAACTTACTTTCCATTTATCTATTTGTTAATCTTCGCTGGTTTATTTGCATAATTTTAGGAAAAAGGGACTTTTCCTGGGGGGGGGGCAAAATGTGATTTCGTGGGGGCACAAGGGGGGACTGGGGGGGGCATTTGCCCCCCCCCCCAGCTTGTATGTTAAAAAAGGCCCTGCATTTCCATGGAGATGCCGTAAGACATGTGTCTAATGGAGTGTTTGCACATGACGTTACATCCGCCATGTTTTTGTTCCAATTCAAAAGAATTTTAATTTAGTTAAACTCTTTTGTCTGAATCGGAACATCAGATACATGGCCGCCATGGCTTTTGTTGAGTTTGTCCCTGGAGAATTAGTGCAAACTGTCTATTGGCTAGTATATATTCACAGCTAAGCTAATACTCATAGCTCACAAAATCAAACACGATAGATATTGATACTTTCCCAAAGGCCTGCGACATGAATTTCTGGGTACGAGGTTGTCCGCACACGAGAGAAACTAGCAGCCTCGCGACTGACGACAGTCGCGAGGCAGTTAGCTCAGCTAAGAGCTCTCGTGTGCGGCGATAGAGAAAGATATAAAAGCCAGCCAACTCAATATAAATACAAATATAAATAAAAAGAGAAAAGCATAGAAGCCAGCCCTCTCATTGTAAATATAAATAAAGAAATAATGTAGGTGCATATCCACTTTCTGTATTAGACCCTTTCAACCGCCGCATTTTGCACATGTGAAATCAATAAATAATCAATAGATAATCAGCTGAACTGACTGTCTCAATATGCATAGTTTTTAAAGCATTAACGACACATGCCAAACGCGACGTTTGAAACAGGCCTAACATAACATAACAAAAGCATGATCAACGATCAAAAATATTCCGCATGCTTCAATCTCACTGACTTTCCCCTGGACCCTGGTTGCGTTGCAGGCTTAACTGAACAATGCACATGCATAAGCATAACATCATAATATTGTGCATAGAGTATAGTGTATTATGCTTTTTGGCAGGCAAAAGTAATTTAACCTATAGTCATAGTTGGCAGTTGCCGGACCTATTGATACCATGTCTCCGTGTCAATTACCTTATATAGTCAAATTATGATTCTTACAAAAGTCAACAGACAACAGACTAAACCCTGTTTAATTTAAATTATACCAATCTGATCGAGAACAATAGAGATGAAACTGATTTGCTTTTAACGCTTGTATATATAATGAACGCTTTTATGCGTGAAACTAGAAAATGCATGACAAAACCATTGTATTTTCCGAACATGAAGTATTTAAAATAGTTGCATGGTAACACAATAATTTAAAAATATTTTTCTAAAATGAAAAATCTCCTAAAAATATTAATTTCCCAAACATATATATGTTAAGTATGTTATTGTACGTAATATAAGCTTCGATTTAAGGTAAAATTCAGCCACAAACACTTCGCAAAACATTTTAAAATGTTCTTTATAAAACTAAACTACCTCATGTCGATAAACTTTGGGTTTGCGGAAACGATAAACTTAAGTACCTTCGTTAACGTCGGCGCCTGCAATTCTTTCACCTTTGTTTTATCAAAAAGCTTTTGAAATTCACAAAATCTTGCAAAAATGAAATATATTTGCAAGAAATCAACAAATCAAGAAATGTTTGCTATTTCGCTGTCCTCATGCAGTCGTTATAATGCAAATTTAAACTGGACCAATCAGTGTTTGCTATTCATGACAGTCTGCCATATTTTTGAGATCAGTGAGGATGACCACCCACCCAACACCCAAACACCGTTGGTCACCCACGCCCGCGATCATTGATGAACTTCAGACTTCGCCAATGCTTTCGTTTTCCCGGGTGTAAATAGCCGGGCGGAATTAGTACCCTCGCACGGCGCTCCGCGCCGTTGGCTCGCGGATTACAATGTTGATTTTACTGCTCAGCGCCGAAATGAGATGAGACAGAACTGAGCGTAGATAAGTCGAAGAACACAGGTATCGCTTTCTAAGCGTTATAAGTATCGACACACAGAAGTATCGCTTTCTAAGCGTTATAAGTTTGTAATAAGCAAATTCAGTATATATAGTGTAAGACCAGCCAGAAATCAACGGACCATACAATGAACACAAAATACACTAAAACAACTGCAAAGGCTAGTGGCTGACGTAGCGAGCGAGCCTGAAGCGAACGAGCAAGTCAGCAGTTCTAGTTCGTATTGGGGTCCGAAAGTAAGATTTTACTTTCGTTTCACCGGCCAGAATGCAATACTGCTAACCGACCAGAATGCTTTGCATGCATGATGCTATAAATACGGGGAATCTCATTAATCAGTTTATACAAGCCGGTAACTATCGTACAACCTCAACTCGACTCAACCTCAACTAGATTATGACTCCCAACTATGAACTCGTATAATATCTTGTTCATATTAGATATATATGTATATCTATATGTTGTTTTATTTTATTTATAAAATTCCTCTCTTTCTAAAATCTTATAGTTATGCGAATATTTTGGGCACTTTTAAACGGATTTAATCTTTTCCGCGACATAAAATGCGTGGCTTGTCCTGAAAAAATTATCTTTTCAATTCTTTCCTAAACTTGTCTTATATTTTGGTTTACTAGTTCCGAGTAACAAGTTCACAACTTATCAACACGAAGGCTAAAAAGGAACCATGAGCTTAAAAAGGTTCCAGTTCGTCACTTTGGTTATATTGGCAGTGGTGACTGTAATGTTGACGCAATCGTCGGATTGTTCAGACTCGTCGAACCAGAAACGTTCAGGTTTAAAGGGAGCCGTCGCCTCCGATTCCGAAGTGTGCTCAAAGATTGGTGCTGACGTCATGCGTGACGGCGGGACAGCCATTGACGCGACCATAGCAACGCTGATCTGTCTTGGTCTTATTCATCCTCATTCTTCTGGAATTGGTGGCGGAGGGTACATGTTGCTGTATAAACGAGCCACCAAGACTGCGACATATTTGGATTTCCGAGAAACTGCCCCTGGTGCATCGACACCTGATATGTTCTGGAAGAAAAGCTGGAGGAGTAAAAAGGGTGAGTATTGCAGGCAAGGGGGGGGGGTAAGGTAACTGTGCATTGCATCTATATAAAGCAGTGGACGCACTGATGACTGGTGTGGCGTTTTGTCTCCACCACAAATTACAGTAGCGTGTAAAGTTGGGACCGCTGTAATTGGTCCTTGAGACAGCTGTAATTGGCCTCAAGCAGTTGCGGTTGCCCTACCATATTTGGTAAAGCTTTAAAAAAATAAATAAATAAGTTAATGAATAGATCTACAGTAAATAATGTTAATTAAATATTTGGGTCATCTTATAGGGAATTCTGGTAAACATCTGCCCTAAGGACATTTTAGTTTTAAACTATTCTCTTATTTTTCTTGCTTAGGTAAACTGTCAGTCGCTGTGCCAGGAGAAATACTTGCTATGTACAATGCATGGAAAACACACGGATGGTTACCATGGAAACGTCTTTTTCAACCAACTATTGACCTGGCGAGCAACGGCTACAAAATTGACGAACCATTGGCTAAGGTTATCAAAAGTACCAAAAAAGACATCCTTAAAGAAAAAGGTTTTAGGTACGTTTGCTTTGTATCTTTAATCAGGATACTTTAGATTAAATACTGCATTTTCAGGGTTATTGTGTTAAAACTAAATTATTATTATTATTAATTATCATTATTAATGGTTTATTATAAAATCGTAGCGCTCGAAAGCGAATTGCGAAGTTATTTACAAACTTTACTTAAAAATATTAAAAAGTACCTTGTGTTACAGGGATTACATTACAACAATTGTTTACTGATCTATGAATTAATATCGGAAGATAAATGTACTTTTATATTTACAAAATTTACCAAATTTACAAATTATGTGATTGAATACACATAGTAGGAAAAAAGCTTTTCTTAAAGCGCTCCGTCTTACAAGGAAACAGTGTTAGTCTATTTCCGTACCTTAAATTGCAATTGTGTTCATTGGCCCAAGAAGGTGGTATTGAATGATTAAGGCGTGAATCAGGCTATCTCATTTTGTCAAAAGTTTTTTATGCACAAAGCACCACGTCTTGCGCGTAATGTCGAATATTTAGCTTGGTCCAGAGCAGCGTCATAGCTTAATGTAAGATAGATTATTCGCATTGTGCGCTTCTGGACCCGTTCAATTTTATCTGATAAGTTGATGGTCAATGATGAATGCCATACCGGACAGCAGTACTCGAGCAGGGATCTAATAAGTGCAAAATGTACTCGTAGTAAATGAAACGGTGAAACTCCACTGCGCTTGAGAACTCGTAAGATATGTTGTCTTTTTGATGCCTTGGTTACTATCTCACTGATATGCAAATCCCACTTCAGATTATTTTGGATCGTTAAACCTAATACTTTGTGGGATTCTATTCTTTCAAGACTAATGTTTTCAACAACTAAGATGGGTGGTGGCTGCTCAATATCTCGTCGAAAGGAGACAATCATCTCTTTACACTTTTGGGGGTTCAATTTCATATTATTGGTACTTGTCCAATTACCAATTGCGTCCAATTCGTTTTGTAGTGTAGATACCTCCCATGTTGAGACAATCTCAGATATCGTCACGTCGTCTACGTACTTCCAATTACTGGAACGCGGGGATACAATTTTCAAATCATTAATCATTATGATAAAAAGGATTGGACCCAATTTGGTACCCTGTGGGACCCCAGCACTAGTTGAAAGCCATCGAGACACGCACTGTCCCAGCTTAACACACTGGCGGCGATTTGAAAGGAAGCTACAAATCCAAGGGATTATTGAACGGCACACTCCCAAATGGATCAATTTTGTTATAACAATATTGTGGTCTATTCTATCGAAAGCTTTGCTAAAGTCCAGAAAGCAAGCTCTAAGGTAATGACCTGGGTTGTCCATTTTAGAAAGCCAGTTGTGGATAAGATCTAGAAGACAAAGGGTGGTAGATGTTCCCTTCAGGCTGCCATACTGACGATTATCAATTTGTCCACCTATGTCCTCAACCATCCAAATAACCACAAAGTCTTCGAGTACTTTCGATAACACAGGAGTAAGTGCGATGGGGCGGGTATCGCTCTCAACCTGGGTTTGTTTCGCTTTAGGAATGGGTATGATGCTAGAATCTTTCCATAAAACACGTACTAGTCCAGAGGACAAAGACGTATTAAATATTGATGTAACTGGCTCCAGCAAGTTCGTAGGCGAACTCTTTTAAAATTCGTGGTGGAATACTGTCCGGGCCCATAGCCTTATTAGTCTGAAGTTTTAATAGCTTACTACAAACCTCATGAGGATGCATGAATTGTAGGAGGCGGCACCGCAGCTGGTAAGACACGTTCTTATTCCTTGTACGAATCAAATGGCATCTTGGTAGCTGGTAAACACGTTCTTACTCCTTGTACGAATCAATGGCATCTTGCCAGATTAAAGGCTTGTTTACACTATCAAAGTTCCTTGAGTCAGTACTCAGAGTTAAAAACTAAGTCAGCTCCCTCAAATGTCGTACAAATCTTTCAAAAAATTTGAATTTACCTATGCAAATATGCTGGCATCACAGAAACATTGATTGTTTAAACCAGTCTTAAAATCAACAGACTGTATAAAAGTTTCTATTGTGGTTCTCATTATACAATTGTTTGATCATAGAAGGCCGACTTATGACATTTCTGGAAAAATCTAACAACTGTTTTGAAGCAATAAGTGTTGCGAAAGTTACATTATAGTCTTGAGTTAATAGTAATTGCAGTCATAAGCTTTGGTATTTATGTATGTCTTCGTGCTCGCTGTACACTTGTTTCGCGCATGCTCGAAACCAGGGTACCGCACTGTTTGTTTCCACTTTTGCACATAGTCATTTGTATAGCTTAGTATTTATGAGTGCAATCTAAGATTTTTAATGTGTCTACACAGAGAAGTCTACTTCCATGAAGATGGAACACCAAGGAATGAAGGCGAAACCATAACAGACCCAGTTTTTGCGAAAACCTTGACAGAGCTTGCAGAGGAACCTTTAAGCTTCTATAACGGCTCAATCGCCAGAGAAATGGTCAAAGACATTCAGGACCGTGGTGGGATACTGACATTGGAAGATTTGCAAAAATTGAAAGCAACAACACGACGTGTGCTGTCGAGCTTTATCAACGATGACATTTTGTATACGACCTCAGCTACATCGAGCGGCTCTACCTTGATTATGATATTGAACGTTTTAAAAGGTCAGTTGACCTAACAATGTTACTCGCGTTGTATAATATTACTCTGGTTTCATGCTCGGCGCCGTAAATGCCGAATAACCCTTACTGGACCTCGAAAAAGTTCAGTCAAGAATTGGTATAGCTATATCCAGTGTTAATAAAGTTAGCTAAGTTTAGGTTTCTTCCTGTAGTAACGTGAACTAGGTCAATAAAGGGTTCCCTCCTCAATTCGGTTCGGTTCAGTTCAGTTTATTGAATTTGTATGGTCAGGGCCGCCGAGAGGTTGGCGGGGGCCCGGGGTAATTTTTTTTTAGGGGCCCCTATCTAAAAAAATTTTCCCGGACAAATTTTTTTCCGGAGAACAACCTCTCCCCCCCCCGTCGCCAAAAAAATTTCGGTCAGTGTACCATTTTAGGGGTAAAAATTTTTTTCCGGAATACAAAATTTTTCCGGACGAGTACGTTGCAATTGCTTTCGAGGGACTTTATCTCATTTTTTTATGCCAAATTCCGGTGCTTAACCCAAGAAAACAGATATTTTGTCCTTTGCGCGGAAATATTTAACACACAAAAAAGGCTGGGGCCTAACAAAAATTTTTCAGGGGCCCCCAGCAACTCGGGGCCCGAGGCAATTTCCCCCCCCCCTGGCCCCCTCTCGGCGGCCCTGTGAGTGGTAACACAATTATCAACTATACTGTCTTTATTTAGGATTCAAGTTCAGTCCAGACTCCATATCCACCAGCAATGTCGTACAAACATGGCATCGTATCATTGAGGCATTAAAGTTTGGTTCTGCATATCGACCATTTCTCGGTGACCCTGATTTTTCCCCAGAAGTTGAAGAGGTTGGTAATGTACATATTGCCCGGAATTTAGCCAACACCGCTGTTTCAGCTACTTTGCTAATTACCTTCGCCAAGACTTTATGTTTTTACGTGGGTTTATTGCAGGGTTTGCAAACAAAGCAACCAATTAAGAAGCTTAGAGAAGGCCATAGGTCAAGGACAAAGCGATTAAACTTTGTCTCAACCACTGGTGAAGGTATACATTTATCTACACACGTCAAAATCTTATATATTGTCAACAAAACGCTTTTCACAAAGGGTCGCAACAAGCTTGTCAACAAGTTTCGACAATGTTAGCATTTTATCAAGTGGCTACTACTTGTTTCGTATCAACAACTCGCCAATAAGTTATTGAATTGTAGGACGAGAAGAAGTTTGAATAACTTGTAGCAGGTCTGTCAAGTGAACAGCTTTGTAAAAATTTGTGGCGGAATGGGGGTGGAGCTATTGTTTCCCGGGTATTAAAGTAGGGTTAAGTCCTCCCCCCGCACAAAAAAAGGCCAAAACGATCTGAGTGAAATTTTAAATTCAACTTATTTTTAAAATTCTACTTAAATTCTACTTAGAAGAAATCAAAGGGATGCGGTATGAGCATTAAAAATATGAATAATTTTGGAGAAACGTCGCCAACATTTCCGGCTAAATATTATTATCATGAAAAAAAATGTTGGACAATGTCATCAACGTCCGGAGAATTTATAGAAATTATCACAACCCCCCACCCCCTTTCAAATAAAAACTGTTCCTTCGGCTTTGGTTGTCCACAAGCCTTTGAGAAATTTTCTACAAGCTGACAACATGCACGCATCTTGATAACAAGTCGTTGAAACAGTGTCGGTACAAATCTGTTGCAAGTTTGCTACTGATTGTGCAGTTTTTCCGGTTTAGTTTATGAAAGTATCTTTGGCTTTTTTAGAGTATAGATCTTCAGATCAATGCTACTTATGCCGAAGAATTACGTCAGAAGATATGGGACAACACCACACACGATCCCTTGTACTATGGAGGATTTTACGATCCAATGCCAGATTTTGGTACGACACATTTATCTGTGATTGGTCCTACTGGTGATGCTGTGTCTGTCACAAGCACCCTTGGACGATAGTAAGTTTCTCTTTCAAATTACATACTTTTTTTATACTGGATAGATCTGTCAGTTCTAAACCGTTTTCCTCAGAGGTCCAAATAAGGATTATAATTGTCTTACCTATGGTAGATAGCTTTTGATCTAATATCCTTTAACTGTTCTCCCTGGAGTTCAATAACAGCGGACTTCGTTGTGGTCCAGTTTTGCTGCAGGATTTAACCCTGAACAAAATCTAATTATTTTATATACAGAGGAAAGCTTTTCGGCTTAGTTTCGTTTTTGCAGGAGGTCTACAATCACCATTTATTATCCGTCCACGAGGAAGTTGACTATTTGGAGAAAAAGGCATACCGTCTTTGGTAGAGTCAAACTGGAACTACTCTTCTCATATTTGACTGAGGGTATATATATATATATATATATATATATATATATAATTCAGTCAAGGTTTGAATGTTTGCGTCGCTACTCTGAGTTTCACGCTTTACGCGATCATCAGGCAACTGACAGATATTATTCAATCTTCATAATAAATATAGGTTATCATTTTACAACTTGATTAAGCAGGTATCTGGTTACATGTCTACATTTGGAAAACAAGTCAGAGCGTTTGTTCAGGCATTCAGTTTTCTTCGCTTTCATAATAAGTAGTTTCTCCTCGAAGCATAAATTACACCGTTTAGATCCTGGTTTGTATGCTTTGACTTTCTTCATAATGGACCACTGTATTGTATACTGACTTTTTTCTGACTTCAGTTTCCAGACGTACTTGGACAGTTCGGTGTTGCTCTTGTATTCCTCATGTCGGAAAGACTTAGTGTGATTGCGGTATCTTGTTTTGAAATCGCCCGCCGTCATGCCAATGTATATTTTCTTTTCCTGGTTGTTGGTAGTGCTGGTTGTCACTTCGGCTTTGTATACGATGCTCTCAGTAAGACATTTTTTACCAAGTGGACAGTTGGCGGGTTTTTGGCAGTTGCACATTGGCGTGTCGTTTTTTGTAGGTGTTGGTATTACCGTTGGTATGGATGATTGTATTACCCTAGCAGTTGGCGTTCGTTTTGTGTTTCGGTTCAGTATATTACGATTGTGTTTACGGATGAGATTTTTCATGTTTGTCATGCAACTGTAACTAACACGGACTGTGTGGCGGTTGAAAAGTTTGTGCAGTTTGTTTGAGGGAGGAAAATGCTTGTCAATTAGGTTTAGGCATGTCTGTGCTACATTGGTCTTAACGTTCTTGCTATAAGGGGGGTTGTACCATGTAATGTTTCGTTGTCTGTTTCGTTTATCGGAGTTATTAGTGTTGTTTTGAGTTTGTGTGTACGTTAGGTTAACGTCAAAGTTGCTTTGCTTGAAAGCGTTGTTGTAAAGTGGCGCTGCTGCGTTGAATGCTTCTTCGTCACATGATAGTTTGTTAATGCGTTTGTTGACTGAGTGTGGAAGTTGTCGTGTGATGGAAGGTGGATGGTTTGATAATCTGTTTATGTACAGTGGTTCATCATTAGGTTTTCGGTATGGTTTATATTTACCGTTTGATAAGTCAAGCGTCAAGTCAAGGAAGTTCACGCACTTGATGTTTGTCTGGGTGGTGATTCTAAGGCCAAAGCTCTCAAAAATGGTGATCAACTCTTTCCTCGCCTTGTCCGCAAGTCTGCCTGATGTTGTTCTGAGGGCAGCCAAGCCGTCGTCACGGTATAGGCCTACGTCTTTCCCAAAGCGTTTCTCGAGTGTGTTCAGAATGAAAAGTCCGACGAGTTCACAGACCTCAGCGCCATCGAAACTTCCCATGGTCACGTCAAACGTGGTGGTGTTGTTCTTCTTCGTCCAAGCTTGTTGGTTGTAAAAAAGAAGGGATCTGCGCGCGTGCTTCACAATGCG